AAAACTTAAACCTTGCTCATAACTTTTGACTGGGTTGGGCTATGCTTTCATACTTCACAGGTGTATACCTTGTGACAAGACCTTTCTTTGTGTACCACCAAATTCAATCTCTTGACCAACTGGAGTTTGATCCACTTTTACAACTGAAAATTATAAAACTTTAATCTTGGCCATAACTTTTGAACAGTTTTTGCTAGGGCTCTCATTTTTTTTTTACATGTGTATATATTGTGACATTTCAATTTGTATTAATATGACCTTTTGACCTTGACCTAAGAATTTCACCCACTTTTTAAAAAACTTCCACCTTCGCCATAACTTTTGAACAGTTAGTACTAGCGCTTTCGTATGTTATATGTGTATTCCTTGTGAAAAGACCAGTTTCATATGCACGCCAGATTCACAAAAATGAGCTAAACATAGTTTCACAGTTGATAAACTAGATTTATCGACTGTAAACTATAGTTTACAAACTGTAAACCATGAACTATAGTTAACATTCGTTAACTATAGTTTTCATCTGTAAAACAATATTTAAGGGTTGTTAACTATAGTTTACGAATGCTATCTAAGTTTATCTGTCTGTAATAAAACGTTAACAATGGATTTTGTTGTTAAACATAGATTCACGTCTGCAAACTATAATTTACAATCGTGAACTATTGTTAAGGGTTGTTAATCATAGTTTCACAAATCATGATACTATATTTATCAGATCGTTAACTAAAGTTAAAAGTTGTAAACCATAGTTTACAAATGGTGAAACTGTATATGTTTTGCAATCGCAAATGATTGTTTTCAGTATTTACGGTTCTGAAACATAGATTATCGCGTTAACTATGGTTTTAGTTACAGATGTAAAATATAGATTAACGTTGTTAACTATAGTTTACAGTCCGTAAACTATAGTTTACAACCGATAAGCCTAGTTTATCGACCGTGAAACTATGTTTAGTTATTTTTTTGTAAATTTGGCGTGCCATACCTTCCTCGAGCTCTTGGTACTAACAATTTTGACCTTGAGTTTGACTTGCATTTGAAAAACTTCAACCTTTTTCATAATCGGTGTTTCTCAAATACATCTTGTTATGCCCCCGTAAACGAAGTTTTGGGGGTACATAGTTTTTGTCGTGTCCATCCGTCCGTCCGTCTGTCTGTTTGTCCACAAAAACTTAAACCTTGCTCATAAGTTTTCATTAAGTGGAGCTATGACTTTCATATTTCACATGTGTATTCCTTGTGACAAGACCTTTCTTTGGGTACCACCAAATTTGACCTTTTGACCTTGATATGTATTCTTTGGAAAGACCTTTCATCGAGTACAAACAACTTTGACCTTTTGACCTTGACCTTAGAGATTTCCGCACTTATGAAAAAACTTTAACCTTGGCCATAACTTTTGAATGGTAAAGGCTAGGGCTTTCATACTTCACATATGGAAAGCTTGTGAAAAGACACTTCGTTGGATACAAAGAACTTTGACTCTTTGACCTTGGAGTGTGACATACTTTTAAAATACAACCTTGACCATAATTTTTGAAAGGTTAGGACTAGGGCTTTTATACTTTACATATTTAATCCTTGTGACAAGACCTTTCATTTGTTATCAAGAACCTTGACATTTTGAACTTGACCTTGGAGTTTGACCCATTTTTACACAAAAAAATTCGAATTTTTACGTAGGCCCTAATTTTGAAATGGCAGATACTAGGAATTTCATATTTATGCCCCCGTAAACGAAGTTTCGGAGGTATATAGTTTTTGTCGTATTCGTTCGTCTGTCTATCTGTCGTATCCGTCCGTTTGTTTATCTGTCGAGCTGTCTGTCTATTTTTTTGTCTGTTTGTCAGCAAAAACTCTAACCTTGCCCATTAAATTTTTGATTTATTGGAGCTGTGACTTTCATATTTCACAAGTGTATTCGTTGTGACAAGACCTTTCTTTGGGTACCACCAAATTTGATCTTTTGACCTTGGAGTTTGACCCACTTTTGCACAAAAATTCCAAACTTTTAGTTTGGCCATATCTTTTGAACAGTAGATACCAGAGACTTATACTTCACATATGTATTCTTTGTGGCAACAACTTTGACCTTTTGACCTTGACCTTGGAGATTTCCTTACTTATGAAAAAACTTTAACCTTGGCCATAACTTTTGAATGGAAATACATAGGGCTTTCATACTTCACATATGTAATCCTTGTGAGAAGACCCTTCATTGGATACCAAGAACTTTGACCCCTTGACCTTGGAGTTTGACTTACTTTCAAAAAGCAAACACTTACCATAACTTTTAAAGGGTTATGGCTACTACTTTCGTACTTTACATATTTATACCATGTGACAAGACCTTCATTTGAAAGCAAGACCTATAACCCATTGGCATTGACCTAATTTTTAAATTTTTTATCTTTGGCCATAACTTTTGAAGGGTTAGGACTAGGGCTTCCGTACTTCACATATGTATTTTTTTGTGGCAAGACCTTTCATTGGATACCAGTTACCTTGATCTTTTGACCTTGACCTTGGAGATTTCCGTACTGATGGAAAAACGTTAACCTTGGCTACTTTCATATTTCTGAATTGTATTTCCAGTGAGTTTGCATTTAAGAAAAGTTTAATCTTCGCTATGTTGCCATACGGGACATTAGTGTTTCACAAACACATCTTGTTCAAAAAGCAATTGTTTGTAGCAAGTCCTTTCATTTGAAACCAACAATTTTGACCTTTTGACCTTGACCTGTGAGATTTCCATACTTAGGAAAAAACTTTAACCTTGGCCATAACTTTTGAATGGTAAGGGCTAGGGCTTTCACACTTCACATATGTAATCTTTGTGAAAAGACTTTTCATTAGATATCAACAACTTTGACCCTTTGACCTTGACGTTAGACCTACTTTTTACAAACTTTATCCTTGGTCATTTCTTTTGAATAGTAAGGGCTAGAGCTTTCACACTGCACATATGTAATTCTTGTGACAAGACTTTTCATTAGATATCAACAACTTTGACCCTTTGACCTTGGAGTTTTACCTACTTTATACAAACTTTAACCTTGACCATAACTTTTGAACGGTAAGGCCCAACGCTTTCATATTTCCCATATGTAATCTTTGAGACAAGGATAGAACAGACCCCAGCTTTGTAAATCTCGTCCAGCTTAGAAATCACCAGGAGTGAAAGTGCCTTGCATGGTCCTGGTATGCTGGGAAAGTGGGGGGGGGGGCGTCTTTGTTTCAAACGGAATTCGTAAGTTCATGAGGAATGAAAACTACTTTGCTGTAAATGCCAATTCATTAAAGGCATGTTTCATATAAGTATGTTTTGCAGTTAATACTGGCAAAGAGCATGTCTTGCTACAAGAAACCCCAAAATATCTGTACAATCAAAATTTAAGGGGGCCCTGGGGTTTTATTGTGTGAAAACTACAATAGCAAAACTATTCATTTTTATACCATATATAACTTATATTAACTTCAGTGTACATGCAACGTTTGGGAAAAATCTACCGCTCAGGTATTTTTAAGGGACCCTCTCAAAATTCAGGTACATTTACTTTTAGGATTATATTGGAAAGTGCCAATTTTTCGCACTTTAAAGCAAATTATACTAATACTACAATAAATTTTTTGCTCAAACTAAATTATATGATGAGTAATACTATACTGTATATTATATAAGAACCACAAAATTCTACCGCCTTCTTTCCGGAGGGGGCGTCTCAAAATGCCAAAAAATAACGAATTTCTTTGTTTTTATAGAGTACTACAAAATATGACGCATACAAAGGATTTACACAAAAATTTATAAATATGACGGAGATATTATCAAAGTCCTATGTTTTAAATTTCAAGAGAATATATTTATTACTTTTTCTTTTATAACATTTTTTTTATTACCCCATCTTTAAGAGCGTCGCGTTATCTAACGTCAAAAACACTATTACGACGCCAGTCCAGACACGTAGCAACAGGGGGATCAAGGAGGGGGGGACCTGCCCCCCCCCCCACTTTTTTTTTTCCAGCATTACCTTTACTATTAAAAATGTCCATTGAATGGTTGATTGCCCCCCCCCCCCCCCCCCCCCACAGTATAGTGATATCAAGGAAATGTGGTATTGTATGCAAAAAAAAAAAAAAAAAAAATGGAAGTGGAAGGAAGTTGGCCTTGAAAAAAAGAGTTTGGGCATTTTTTTTTTGCTTGTGAACTTTTAGAGGTAAGTAAAAAAATTTTTCTCCGATTGCCCCCCCCCCGTTCAAAAACGATGCTACGTGCCTGCAGTCTACCTGTCAGTTTAAAATTCATTTTAAAAATCAGTTATTTAAAATTATAATGAAATTTTTCGACCCTTAATTTTGTTTAGTTTTATTAATTAAGTGAAAAAAGTTGCTTTAAAACATTAAATACGCTTCATTTTACTGTGATGCGCGAAATATTGCGCAATGAAAACCACAGTCGCCCCCCTTAAAATAGGAGATGCCACAATGTAAAAAAGGTTCTGTAATAGTCTCATTAAACTTTAATCAGTAATATAGAAAAAGTTGCTGATAAGAAATCTGTGCCTCCAATACTGTGATAGAAAGATTGCCAGTGTCCATGCTTTACTATGAAACCCTAAATTATATGTGTTCAATCTAAGAATACATGTAGTAAGAGGTGTCCTATAATGGCATTGTGTAATATTCTTTAAAAGTCTCAATAGTTGTTATTCAGTGGTATAGGAGTTGGATAAGGGATGGCTATATCCAAGCATAATGGATGTACTTGTGGATCAACCCCCCCCCCCCCCACCTCCTTTTCAAGCTGGAGGTATATCAAGATTCAAGTAGAAGCCTTTCCTGTATACATGTATATGACAAGCACCATTCATCAGTGAGACCTGAAAATAATTCAAGACTCAAATCTGTCAAATTCTGATCCTTCTCCAAATCCATTGCAAGAAAATCCTTCCTTTGCGATCTGCCACACCCTGGACTGTTAAATTCAAGACAATTCCAAAATCAATTCTGATACTTTACTTGTAATTTTTACGATAAAGTAACATTCTTTACTACACTTTTGGCAAGGAAAATCTCTTTAATGACCTCATTAACAAAATCTTTCCTTTATAAAATGTTATAATGACTAGCCATTAACTAAGAAGATATTTCAATACATATCACTGAAAATAACTGAAATAATGCTTGTTAAAATTGAACCAAATACTAAGCTTTCATGAATTACCAATATTTTTAGACAATTCTGTAACAATTTACTACATATCAAAGTACAGAAAAAGTAACTGAGGAAATTCCAATTCCAATATGCTATTTAGATTCACACGTAAACATTAAGATCTCGAATATCGAGTACATCAATTTTACGTCACATTCTTCTTTAATGTGATCATCTAACACAAATGGTCTGCATTTCCACAGCTGCTCTAAGTTAAACAATGAGTTGATTGATAATTAAATCAGCCATTTTTTAAAATAATTCATGCCCTGATGTAAAAAAGAGTAATATCACTTTTCTCATACAGAGTATTTGAAATAATGTCAAATATTAAAACAGAATTATTTTTTTCCTATTGCAGACATGACATGGAACACTTTTTTAGTGGTGGTTCATCCACACTCAGTTCTATTATGCTTAGAGACATAAACGTAATGAAATTAAAATCTTATTCATATACCTACAATATGTAATGTATAACAAGGGGCAGTAACTATCAAAAGGCTCATGTTTCAATGGCAAGGCCTAACACATAACATTAAAATAAAAATGAGAACAGAAATGAACATACTTATCACTAACAATCCTACCAAACAAAACTAGTTCACAATCTCTTCATAAAACAATGCCTTAGGAATCTTGGATTATGTTGCCATTTAATGGCAGCTATAAAATAAAAACATAACTGCATGTACAAATAAAGCATTGGCAAAAAAAAAAAAAAAACGTTAACAAAAAGAGCAGTCTTTCAATCTACATTGATGAGGTCTATACTGGAGAAAAATATATATCTTTAGAATTTTATCTACATTTCACAATAATAATACATTTAGACCTAATTCTCAAGCACTAATTTATAAAGTCTGGAAGTGTTAATGAATGATGAAATATGAATGTGTTTGACACAATCAATTGATCTTATTGTTGGATAAATGTTACAGTGAAAATTGACAATACGTCAGCAAAACAAGCAAACAGATAAAACATAATGGACGGTTACATTAGCACATTAAAAAAAGGAGTTTTGAAAAAAAATATTTGTCTATATTTTTATGCTTTTTTATTTGAACAGAAAATAACTTGTATTAATAAACATTGTAACAAAAGCAAAATTTCTGCTGGTGGTGTTACATTGAACTAATTAGAAAAAAAAATTGAGAGAAACTGTACAGTTTTTTTTTTAACATTCATTAAACTTAACTCTAAAATAAATACATGCATGCATGTAACTAATTTTTGAAATAGCTTCAGCCACTAAATAAAACAGAAAATTTTTGAGTTCTTCATTTTGAAAGAATTTTTTTTCAAATAATTCATAGTGAATGTTATCATTATGTCTAAATTTGGATTGACTTAACCCCATGTTTATTGAAAAAAAAATTGGCATCAAACATGTACTGACTCCAATAACACAAAAAATGCAATAACTTGTCATTTTACTTTGAATGAAGAATTTCTCATATATGATATATACCTCTCATTCTGAATGAAAGCTAGTCACTATTTCAGTATTTACAGGCTTCAAGCTCGTCTAACTTGAACAGAAATGGTTTACATTGAATGTTCATAAAAAATTCATTTGATCAACAAATGGAACAAAAAAATATATAATTTCCTATAAATCATCTAAGGACGTTCACTCGGTTCTGGGCGTGAGCAATCTGAACACAAAACTTGAGTTATCTCTCTTAGCACAATTTGAAAAAAAAAATGACACAACCTAGCACCTTTTTTCCTTCCATGAAAATTTTGGCATGTCACAGATTTTGTAGACAGTGTTTTAAAGAACCTATTTTGCTGGCTTTACAGTTTTGCCTACTTGGCTCCGAGTAATTCTATCCCACACAAATGGGAGATGGTGTCGAGCCTCACTCTGAGTCGACTCTGCAGCAGACGTGCTATCCAGCTTTCCTTTGCTCAATGATTTCTGACAAACGTCTGTGCCTGAACCTTCACTATCTTCTTTCATTTGAACAGAATTAGAATCTGAGTCCAGACTTGCACAGGAATTGGAGCAGGGACTATCAACACCAGACGATGTTTTCACTTTCTTACTCTCCGGACTCTCACTTTTCTCTGATGAAAATGCTTTCCTTTTGAATTTCTTATGAAGGTATTTCATTTCAGTATAATCCATGGATTTATCAGACTCTGAATCGCAGCTGACTTGCCTGGAGACAACATCTGGTTGGGACTTATGACCTGACTTGACCTCAGTAGTGGAATTGAGGGAGGTTGTGACCAATCCCTTTGTCTGGCTGTCTGCTTGTGAGGAAGAGATGGGATCACAACTGCTGTCTGGGCTAGCTGATGTGATTGCATTGTCTGCAGACATTTTGGTAACCTGTGATGCTGGAATAGCTTTATAACTTTTGTTCAAGTCACTGGGAATGTTCAATGATTCTGCCTCAGTTACTCCTTCACTCTTCTGCTTGATGAAGATTTTTTCATCTTTTTCGATGGATGTCTCGGGACACTTGAACTGGGAGTAACTGGGAGCAGTGAGATTGTGCATTTTTTCCATATGTATTTTGAACTGTTCGTAAAGATGAAACTTTCCATTACACAATATACATATAAGCTTTCTCTGCTTCTCTGGATGCTGTTGGGAAATGTGATCTTCCAGAGGAGCACTGAGCTTACTTGTGAATGTACAGTATTTACACACGTACACTTCTATTAATGTTTCTCCTTCTTTAGTCAGTGTTTTAGATGTTTTGAAATCATCCGCTGGATGTAGAGGGACAGAGCTATCATTAATTCCACCTACGAAGGGATCCATCCTGGGGTTACCATGTGTTCGACAATGTCTCTTGTAAGATCCAAAATCGTTGAGTTGAAATGTTTGTCCACATTCATGGCACTCCAAATATTTGGGACTTTTTTGTTGCTGTTCCAACTTTTCCTCAGGCTTGATATTTGGTCTCTGAGGATCAGTTGCAGCACTTTCATTTACCGTTATGCTTGGCACGCTCTCAGGTCTTCTGTTTTCATGATTTGATGGTGGATAGCCAACACTTCCAGCACTCTGTCGGAGAGTCATAGCACTGGGGGGCCTCTCATAGTTATTAGGAGAATGACTGTGAGAGGAGTACTCCCTTGGACTCTGACATTTTGGGTTTGGGGATGGATGAGAAGGTATTCCCATCTGATTCATTCCATGCATCTCAAAATGAGGTCCAATGGGAGGTGCTTGAAGGGCCTTAGTGCCTGATATTGTTTGTACAATTGTGTGTTCGGACCTTGGTTCAAATCCATGCTGGTTTCTGAAATGTTTCCTAAATCCATATGGACTTCCGTAGGTTTGGTTACACAGTCTACAAATGAGATATAAAATGTCACTTGGTGAGTGGTTACCAATAATGTTTTGTATAGGTTCATGTCTAGACACACTTCCCGACCTCTTGATGCCTGAGGAGTTGGAATCTGTTGGGGACTCAGGTGCCTCCTGAGGAAGATGATGAGGCATAGGTGGCCTGATAGGCATTCGAGGTAAATGCTGCTGATGGATGGGGTGAGGCCGCACCACCTCTGGTCTTTCTGGGCCAGGGTTGGGCACCACCGGTGGAATATTCTGCTTACCCCCTGGGTGAGGAACATTAGGCCAGTGTGGATGATTCATCATCACAGAAGGTGGAAAATGTTCATGACCTTTCACTGGGGGAGGTACTCTGCCTGCAGGCATATCTGTACTAGCCTGTTGACAGAATTTATCCATGCTGTTTTGTAACTGACTAATGTGTATACTTTTGGATATATCATGCTGCTTTTCCATCTGAGCTGGGTACAAGGGATATCCTGGATTAAAATGTGATGATGGTGAGGCTCTTGGCCTCTTACAAGTGAGATCTAGTGGTTGATCCTCATTTCCAGACTGTGACGTCTGCTTCACAGACAAATCCAATCCTGAAGCATCCCTCTTCCGTGAATGATTTGGACTAACTGGTGAGAGATCTTGCCTCTGCCAGCCTTGCTTCACCTCTGGCTTGGTTTGCTGGTACACCGATGGACTGGGTTGACGAGGGCTTCTGGGAGAGGAGGGAGGGTGGTGATTGGGTGATGAACGTGACATGACTGGTGACTTGGAGACCGTGTTCCTGTTATTTGCATACATATTAGCTGGCACTAATAAATGGTCTTTTGTGCTTGTGGGACTATTGAAATATTCTCTTGGAGAGGGTATGGGAGGGTTGTTAGGGTAGAGCTGAGGCATCCGAAACTGAGAATTCTGATGACAATATCGTTGTGGTGGTGAAGGACCTGGTGCCATGGCCGATGGAATACCTGACTGCAAATCCTCCATTGGTTTAGCTGGATATCTGACCATAGATGGATGAGGGTATTTTGATTTGTCTGAGGGAGGATAATGGGAGTTCATATGTGGCATCATGTGAACGTCATGCATGTGATGAGGTCCCATAGAAGACCGAGGACCCATATCCACTCTGGTCCTCTGAAAACCATCACTACCAGACACCGGTCGTCCAGATTTCTCACAACCCTTAACCGGATATCCAAGATATTTTGACTGACTTTCATGTTTGTTGTCAAACTTATGGTCCTGTTTATAAGCTACCGGGTGATGTAGGTTTGGTTTCACATATGGAGGATAAAAATACTGAGACTGGGGGGGAGTGTGAAACATATCCATATGATTGTTCCCCTTTCCAGCAATTAGCACCTTCTGTTGATGAGGATATTTTATATCCTGGTTTCTAATCCTGTTCTCCTCGACGTGATTTGGAAAAGAACCCGCGTCGTACTCCGTACGTTTTTTAGGAGGATCCAAATCACATTCACTATAAATCTCATCACGCAAGTTTTTCCATCTTTGCTCTTTTGGATGATGCTGTGGTTTTTGAGGAGGAAAGCTGTCATTAACAGCTTTTTTAATGATGCGATCTACCACTGTCTCTACACTATGACACTTGGACTGGGATTGGAGAGCCGGCTGGGGTTTGCTAACAGCATTTACTGTTTGGTGCTTTGAACTGTCAACAGATTCATAAACACTGCTGGTTGTCACACTTTTCTTAAGGTCACCTTGTAACGAATTACTTGACTTGGGTCGAGTTGGTAACTCACTCTCAGTAGATAAGTTCTCCTTACTCAGATGCTCGTCGATGAGTTTTTGCATGTGTTGCTCGAGCGTCAGTCCTGGTGTTATGGCGGGTAATGGCTGCTTAGGTTTGGGTTTTACAGGCAGTTTTCCTTCCTCGTTTGTGTCTTCCTTTTTGCTTCCGACACTTGGAAAGTTTTTCTCTAAAACCCTTTCTATGTGATCTTTCAGAAACATGACATTCTTCTTAGAAAGACTCATGTCGTCACTAATTTTATCATTGTCGCTCTTTCTGAAATCCGAATCACTGTTTGGATGAGCTTTATGATCTTCTTCACACATTTCTAAAATACGTGTCTTTTCATAGGTCTCCTCAGTGTTTTTCATCGAGTCATTTAATGCTCGCTCAATCATACTTTCAAAGGAGGCTGCATTGGACGACGTTTCCTCAGCCTCTGTCTTAGATGGAGTAGATTTATCCTGACTACATTCACTGCCATTTTTAATGGTCTCACTAGTGCTCTCCTTTGTTCCATTAGTGACTATTTCTTTATTATTATTATCGACCTTCTTTTGCACTGTCTTTAGAACATTTTGGTCAAATAAGATTCCCTTTTTATTATATGTGTCTTCAGAGGCCTGTTTATCACTGTATTTGGCATCTGTGGACTTCAGATAGCCTTCTATTAAATTATCCAGTTTTTCCTTGATACAGGCCGAGGACTCCGTTCCCACCTCTGAGTTTGGGGGCTCCCCGGAGGGTTCCATATTCTTTTGTTCAGGGCTTACTTGTTCCTTGGACGTGGTCATGTGGTTACCCATCAGAAATCAGAAACTGGTCAGGTCAACATCTTCTGAAAGTAGAAAAAAAATCATGGTTAATTTGTTTGAAAAACAATCTTTAATTCTTATTACGTTTCCAATGGAGATACAAAATTGGATACTAAACATGACCTAATGACCTTGACATGACCTTAAGGTATTGATAAGATGACCATGAATCAAAGCATGACCTAAAGACTTAAATAGACATGTGTCTTAGTTCCAAGTTTGGGATAATGGTTAAAGATTGGCCATTTGTCTCATAGCAATGCCAAAACTGAATTCCAAAAATTATGCAAAATTTTATCCCTGTTTTTATGATTATACAATTATGGAAAAAAAACCTGTGTTTTTTTCACTACCAGGAGTAATGTACTGAAAATAAAATTTGTACATTGATGCACAAGTACAATGAGCCCTGGGAGAGAGAAAAACACATAAATGTTGGAAGAAAAGAATGAAAACACACATTAAAAACTAATGTATAAATAAATTCACAGATTTAAATGTCTACGAAAATGAAATATAATGCACCATATAATTTATCTCGGTCAATGTCAACTTTAAATAATAAATGTCAAACTGAATAGTTGGTTTGGGCATAGTTATTTTCAGAATATTTAAAAAACACATCATTTTCAAACTAAAAAAAAAAGGAAAGCAAAATTTAGGCGTAGGATTTGAATTGATAAGTTCTATTTTTGTATAAGACAATATAGAAAAGCATTCAATATTCCCAAGAGGTTCTTATCATCCAAGTATCTTCATAAAGAGATATGTTATATGCCTCAATCTGTACTCTGAGTGAGTACAATTCACTTAACGAACAGTTGTCTCCAGCTAAATGTCTGCCAACGGAACGCTATATAGGGAAAGATTTTAAATTAGAACATAAACAGCATCTTCTGCAACAGATATGACTTTTAATTCCACAGATTCTTTGCTCTGAAAACAGCTGACACACAAATGGGATTGTTTTAATAATGACAACAACATTAAAGAATTTAAAAAAAAAAATTAAGTGACAAAGAAGAATTTCACTTATGTTAAAGAGTCACATCTTGACGTATTAATGCTGAAAAACAAGACGGCTGCACTCTTAAAATAACATAATGGGCATAATGCAGGAATTCTTTTGTTATCTGCAAACTATTTGCTAACATTTCATTCAATATCTGAAAAACAGACCTCAGTCTATAAAATTCTAAATATTCATTTCATCAAACTTCCCCAGTGATATTAACTTCTTTTGATAAATTCACGTCAAGCCAAGATTACACGATATACTAGATTAAATCTTAAAAGTAAAGAGAAAAGAAGGAAGAAAAATTTTACATTTGTAATGTACCTACATTAACCAGGCCTAGCGTCTAGGAGGCAATTTAAGTCCAAAGAAACATCAAAGAATAAACTATCTCCCACACAGAGCAAGAACTGTGGTACAGAATGATTCTCAATCACAGCTGTCAGTCTGCAGACAAAGATACATGACCTTCACCTTCAAATTCCATGACCTTCACCTCCAGATTAAAAATGTGCCACTCCAACTATTTGTTATCTTAATAGCTTAGATGGCATTCAATATCACTAGTTAACTGTAACGCAGCAAGACAAGCTATGTGAATAGCCTCTCAACATATTTTCCAGCAGATTAAAATAGAATCACAATATTACATTATCCTCGCCAACAAAGAACAAAACACATTCATCCGGCAAGAAAACTATTTCCATACCATTTTATACCTGAATTTTTTTTTTTGCTGTTGAAAAAACAAACAAGGTTAACCATACCTAAATACAAAAAATCATTTCAAACACCAATGACAACACAGCCCATTAAATTTAGAGCTTTCCGGTCTAAAAGTCAGTTTAATTACAGGTGTCAACTAGCGCTATGCTGACGTGCGTCTCCAACCCACAACATTCACATTATACCAATGAATTCACATACATCCTTGTTTTAATTAAAACTCTATTCTCTCCTAATATACAGTTGATGGCCTCCAGGTCTTTTTTTTTTAGCCACACTAAGACTGTCATATTACGTCAGTTTTTCACAGACAAAGATGTATTGTTTTTCATATTTTGCTCACTTCTTGACAATAACATAACATGTAAAGGTAAAGGCAGTTACTCTCTTGTACTTAATGCCTATTTTTATGAATGTGTTATTACACAATTCTTGGAGATATTTGTACAGACATTTAAATCCTTCCAAAAGGCCCTTCAATCATAAATACCAATTTAGATAATCAGAATGTCTCTCAGCTAATTCTGAAGCCCCTAGAGCTAGCACTTTTCTCTGCCAAATGCTTCGTAACCTTTTACAATGACGTATAGTTTACTCCAGTTAATGCATCTCAAATACCATCAGGATTTAAATAAATGGAATTCAGGCAAGAATGCAAATAAAAATACCACTACTTACAAAGTACATATTTCAGTCTTTTTGGCATTTAGTTGGAACAGACACGTTGTTGTTTATGACTCAAAATCCCAATCTGGATACCCCATATCTTGTGATACTTTTATTTTGGGGGAAGGTCAAGGTCGAGAGCTATTGAACCTTACTTGTATTATTTTGCACAACAAAAGCCTATTCATAACTTTGTTCACCTGCACTTAAAATCTCAGAGGCCATGGCTTGTCTATCAGGCCTCCCCACAATGCCGAGCTGTTTAGCAGCCGAAGCATGAATAAGGGATTCAAAGTATTTGTGCAACTAAGGGTATCGGAGCCCCAGTATCAAGTTCCCCACTCAGGTTATAATGATCCTGATCTCCTTCTTTGTATGCATTCAGTAGAAAGAGTCAAAACAAATTCCTTTGAATTCGGTCAACAATTCATCAGGCGCTGCACCAAAGCACCTGCAGAACCAAAGATAAGATTTATTTCATCATGCAATCTTCTAGCTACTTAACTGAATGTGCATTTCCTTTTTGATTTTTCCTCCTCAATGCCAGCAAGGAGGAGTAGACTTAATGTTATATTAACCACTTGTCTTCCTAAAATATAATGCTTCATAAATCAAAGGACTAGTTTTCTTTGCACTATTTAAGATTTAAAAAAAAAAGACGACAAAAAATGAGAGAACATTAGTATCCCTATTCACAAATTTCTCCAAGATACAGTTGATTTGTGTGAGATAACTGAAAAAAATTGGAGTACATAGGTAAATCATAAATAATTAAATATGACAAAAAATTACAACCCAAAAAAATTTTACCTCGATCAGAACAAATTTTTTATGCAGAAATACCTAGATCAATTTGCTCCAGTGAAATCTGGTGACAAGTACAATGAAAGGAAATAACAGTGGTTAGACCTACCTATAAACAGCTCTCCCGGATCTGTATAAATAGACCCACTTTGAGCACAACAAACATACTGAATGCATTAAAATGATGTACTTTAACGACAGTCTCTCAGGTGTGATGAATTCATTATCAAGCTTTTGAATCACAAAGTTAAAACATAAAAAAAACAATTCTCCCAAGATGCTTCATATATCCAACAACTCTTTCCCTATTTAGTCCTTTGATTGGGGATAACAACATTAAATGAATGAAAAAATGTCCTATCTCCGTTAATGCACAGATGATCTCCCAATTGTAAATATCGTGTTTCCAATAATGACATAATCATAACTGTTATGATGGGACCATTCACTGCAGCTGTAGATGGACTATAATAAAATATGGATTTTTAAAAAATTTTCATTCATACAGCTATTAAATAGCAATAATAGTCATGTGTAGGATGTTCAAAAGCCACCAAGGACATCAAATTTTGTTGCATAACCCCTGGCAGGATCACATTAGCCATAAAATTAAATTGTAACAGTTGTTAATATGATGTTTCAGACATTCTGATATGTGTATTACAAAACAAGGTGATTCTAAACTTCCATTTCCCCATCTGTGGCAAAAAAATTAATTCAATACAGCCTTGTAATAAATAACAAAACTACTTTTAAACAGGTTGTTTCTTAGTAGTTCTCCATCTGTGACGGTGATTACAATATGACCTATTCACCTGAAAGTGTGACCTTGAACTTGACAACAGGAACTTGTACCACACTGAGTCTTCTTCTGCCATGGGGATCCGGGTTAGAATAGGTCCTCAGTACCCCTTGCTTGTCGTAAAAGGCGACTAAATGGGGCGGCCCTTCGGATGAGACCGTAAAAACCGAGGCCCCGTGTTACAGCAGGTGTGGCACGATAAAGATCCCTCCCTGCTCAAAGGCCGTAAGTGCCGAGCATAGGCCTAAATTTGCAGCCCTTCACCGGCAATGGTGATGTCTCCATATCAGTGAAATATTCTGGAGAGGGACGTTAAACAGTATACATCCAATCAATCAATCTCCTGCCATGGAATGTGGATAGAGCACACATTTGTCTGACCTTAAGTATCTATCTCTGAGTACACTTCGTATATACATGTAAGTACTTGTTAGGTTAACAGTGAAGCACAGCTTACAAAAAGCAAAGAACGAATCAACTTCCTACACCTTTCAAAAATACTTTTTGTTGTTGTTTAATATCTCTCTGAGAATATTTCACTCTTACTGAAATGCACTCCCTTGGAGAGTTACAAATTTAGACATGTACTTGGCACTTCCAGCCTTTGAAAAGTGAGGGATCTTCTTTTATTTGTTAGTAGTAATTACTACATCATGGTAGCATTCATCAATCTCATCCAATGGACTGCTCTCTGTGTTACACAATGGATTCAAACCTGTGACTTAAGGATCAATTCTTTACCTCGCAATTCTACAGTAAACACTCTAACCAGCTATGCATGCTACCGTTGTTGACCAAATATGTATGATGGCTGCACTAATCGCTAATAGATTGATTGACTGTATGTTGTTTAACATCTCAAGAATTTTTCACTCATATGGGGATGCCACCACTTTCTGACGGAGAGCTGCAAATTTTGTCCTATACTCGGCACTCAGGGTCATTGGGCAGAGAGGGATCTTTTTTGTGCCAACACCTACTGCAACAAGGGACCTCTGTTTATACGGTCTCATCCAAAGGACCCGGTTTCCAACACCCACAGTATTCGAACCTGTGATGTAAACTCTCTACTTTGCGACTCTCTACTGTGCCACACAACTAATTACTAAAAGAAGGGAAGCCTAAGAAACCAATGCCCAGTAAAAAACCTCATACATTATTATATAATGACATTTGCTACAATGGTGCAAAAACCTGGCATATTTTATTTCCTATAAGAAATACATTAATATTTATCCACACATTTCATTACGTCAATATTATGTACAAAGATTAAGCTTTGCTGGATATGAGGAACAGCACCATATTAAATGAGAATTTAATCCTTCAGTGGAATGATTTGATACTGATTACTTTTTTATCTGGAATGGACTAAAGTGAAACAGTTTCAAACATAATAGGGTCAAAGCAGTCAATTTGGATTCCATACCAAGATCTGTAGAGTAACAATATTTGTTAAAGGAGAACTTAAAGGATCATTTTACTAAAGATTGCATGTTTACCAGGGTCATTTGGAATATCAAATTCATCCCAAGAAATTAGAACACAAGTTTTCAGGGTCACCTAAAGAGAGACTAGTCATGCAACCAGATTGGAAATGCTACAAAATGCCAGTTTTTCTTAACTGGACAGGTGAACAACACACATTTCAAACTTTAGCACGTGACAACATTTTTAATCATGCCCAGGTGCAATATAAATCCAGATTTATTCAAGTGGAATTTCAGAATTACCCAGTACCTGATTGACACCAAAATCTCACCTTCAAAAGAAATGGACTGCAAACAATACTTGCATGACTTTAGTTCCAATGACTACTTTACTGACCTGTTCAGTAAGGGTGCACCTTGTAGAATTATTGTCCATTCATTTTCTTTAATCATGCTATGTCACTTCCTGCCAGCTTGCCCTTTTGGCGGCAAAAGCCCGTTCACCTTGACATTGCTGATTACGTCAATAGTGAGAAAAAATATTTTTATCATTTCTGCCTTTGATTCAACAAGCAAGCCGACTTCTTTTGTTTGCATAGTATTGCTAGCGGCACAAATGACATTTAAAATTCTCTCGCTGGAAAAACTGGTCCAGTTAGCACTCTAGAAGTACACCTAAATTTAAACCTCATAAACAAATATTTGCCATTTGTTTCTTTCAATAAAACTGCATTTGCCTATTAAAAAAGACTGCATTGTGCTTAGCTTAATCCTGGCATTTAAATCCTTCCAGCACATTTCTACCTTTTCAGCCAAGGTACCTGTTTCACCTTGTCCCTTTATAATACAGGTTTATTTACAGCCCTTTCTGCAAGGTGAGATTACACAACAGGCTAAGCTTTATTGAGACTCAGTACAATAGATATTGACAACCCTGACAATACTGCTCTAGAATTCCTTGGCTCTTTTTTAAACAACTTCACAGGGTCAGTCCTTGTAATATTGAAATGGGCCTTACACTTCGATTACAAATGGACTTGTAAGTGGGGGACAATTGACTATACACTTCAAAGGAGTTTGTCTAACATAAACTTCATGAATGCAAGGGTAAACTTATGTCAACTGATTGAAGATCACACATTCAGAGAACTTCAATGAATTTCTTCAATCTGAAACATGGGAAAAATATGCATCTTTTATCTTGATTATAGATTTACATCATAAACTGCATGTCTCCAAAATTAATGTCACAGACCTTAAAGTGCATTTGAAACCAATATGATAAATAAATAAATATAAAACTAAATTAATTTGAACACAATATTCACATGGAAATAAAATCTAAAAGTGGTTCAAAAGAAAAATCATTCAATATTTGATACCTTTTGAAAATTGATCTGTAGAAACATGGTGTATCAATACTTTAGTTAGCAGTAATTTGTTTAATTATAAGGAATAGTCAGTTCTTCTGGAAATGTCATCTTAAAAAAAATGTTGATTTATAATGACTTCCTAACAGTATATGGATACCAATGATATCATCAGGGATATTCAGGGAGCTTTATCAAATTGTTTTTCCATTCCTGTTTAGACATGTTTGTCGAAATTGCAGAATTTTAATCTTTTATTAAATTGAATATTTGAGTAAAAAATTATGATGCACCTTAACAAATTCTTCTTTATATT